TAGAAAGCTTCCTGCACCCTCCAGGAAATCTCATGCTAAGAGCAGTGCTTATTACAAAGGCTGACAAAAGATGCTGACTTTCAACATCTAAAGTCTGTTCCCACTCTTACAAGCATCACTGCCAAACACTTAGAAGCGTCACCCTTTGCCTTTAAAACTGAAAAGGGTTGGAATTAAAACAGACTGTTTGAAATGCCGGCTGAGAACGGCAAGCAGGTCACTTTCTTCTTATTATAAATTTCCTGTATTAAGTATCTGTGAATGCTCCTGTAAGAGTCAACTATTCAGAATGTCTTTAAGCATCAGTATCCTTTATAATTAGCTTTCCTCTAAATGCAGAGAGTCTTTTTCCAAGGGCCAACTTTTGTCACACACTTTTTAGGAGTCTAGACACAAAACATGTAAAGGCTGCTAATTCACATCCATATCTAAAGATTTTTGCCTACTTTTTAAGCAGTACTTTGAATCAAGAATTCATATTTTAAAGATTGGCAATACTTGCAGAAAGGAGTAAACCTGGATATGCAGTCAAATATTAACAGATTTTCCCCCTATGGATGTAACTGCCCTCTACTGGATGCAAGTCAGAAGTACTCAAGCACCTTCCCCACCTACTGGATACTACAAACAGCTGAAAAGAAATAAAAGATTTCTTTGGTTTTCAGAAAAAACAAGCAGCTATACAGAAGCAAGTAATCGTATCCCTAATGACAGATATCCTGACTAATGCACTGACCAGTAGAGAGGCAATTGTGAAACTCCTTCCTACTTGTTTATTTTACTGCTAAAAAAAAAAAAAAAAGAAAAAAAAGCACCTGTAGTATATTCAAATCTTACCTCTTTTTCATGGACCAATCTGAATTTACAATGCACCATTTTGATCTCAAACGTGTCAGAAGTATCAGCCAAACAAATCCCCAGATTGTTGTAACAGCCTTAGTGCAGACCAAAGACTACTGACTATTTTTCCCTAAAATTCTTCAACTCAACACCCAAGTACACACAGAACATGGCAGAAATATCTGAATATTGGTCATAATCTGATTCAAAGCTTTAATGAGTTGATATGTGTCCAAGGATCCTCATCAGCTGGAGACAGACTTCTGCTTTTTTACCAAAGAAGGCTCCCCAAAGCAGATCCACACAAGAGCACTGTTCCTTTGAGCCACACCTGCCTCATGAAGCAGACAGAGCTAACCAGTTTGAGAAAATCACTTACTACACACTGAAAATAAATTCCACACTGCTTAACTACTGCACACTAAGACAACATATAATGAAGCTATCTGTGCAGATATTTAAGGAATGTCTTCAAAAGGTGTTCCTAACCTGAGCTATTCCTTATACCTGAGATACTACCCAGCAGTTCGTGCCACCAGACTTGTTCTTATCCTCCTCTGAAATTCAGATCACCACCTTGCTACATCAAGAAAATTCAGTGCTTTGTCTTCCACTTTCACTCTGCTCTCTTCAGCCCCTTCTGGCATATGAGCTGATTCCCAGCCTTTTTTACTGCCTATAAGGTAGTAAGCAAAATAGCTGCCTGTCAGAAAGAGGATTTTCTAGCCTTCTGTTCTTGAACAACACCCTTTTCCCCCACCAACACTGTCTGGAGAATGAGATATGATGAATGCTTTAAATGAACACAGAACTGTCCATGAACTCTTAGTGTAGCACATAGCTTAGAATGACTGGAGAAAGGTAGGGATAATAAAACACTATTCTTGTCACAGCAAATAGACCTGGACAGAGTTGTTAAGTCTCAAATGCAAGTCAATCCACACTAATATCAGAATTTCATGGATGATTATAATTTAGGTCTCCAAGCGCCTTTCAAGTAAAAAGCAATTAGCAGAAGGAAACGTTAACAAGTTGGAAATAATTACCATGAAAAGACAGAACACAAACTAATCCACAAAAAAGTAACAATGAAAAGGCAGAGGAGAGGTTTTAGGAGAACGAAGCAGTATTTTGAAACAATAATACTCTCAACACCAGCTTCAGTCATAATGACATTACAAGATTAAATTATTTTAATACTGCAGAGCAAAACACCAGTTTATTCAGAACACATGGAAAATACTGTGTAAAAAAATCCAGCATACTAGATGTAACTTAAATTATTGAACCTGTAAGTAGAAAACAACTCTGAAAAAAAACTTCTCAAAAATCCCTTTAAAAAGTAGTACTTGCAACATACAGGTCTGCCTAAAATACAAAATTCACTTGATAAAGAGATCAGCTTCTCTGTGTCCTGGCCTCCTGCTACCCCAAAATTTTCTACTGCTTTACCCTTTCAACTGCCAAATGCAAGATAATAATACTGATTTAATCTCCTATTCCCAGAAAATTGATTACAAACCTGAAAATTATCTGTGCACCAGCTATTTTATCCCACAATACAGTTCTACATATAATAGTCTTACACTCTTTTCATAAATAAGCAACTTCAGTACTTTACCATAGCAAGCAAGAAAAACATCAAATACAAATACTCTTAGTTAAGTCAAAGACAATTAGCTCTGTCAACAACTAAACTGCACACACACTAAAAAAAAAATTAAAAAAAAAATCAGTGAACTCACACCAGTATGTGCTTTACAGCAGTAAAGTAAGAGCACAAATTCAGCATTTACCATTTATACCAGCAGTGCCCTGCAGACACTAAAAACCAGTATTTTTAAATAAATCCATAGCACTTCTTCAGCTACAAGATATATTGATTTTTGCATAGGGAGGGTTAACTGATCCCCTTCACTGAAAGACCCTAGTAACTTTTAGTCCATCCCAAAATATATTTTCAGTGGGCTCTGCTCACATGTGATGACGATGCATGCAAGCCCTGAAACAAAACTTCCCTAAGTAAAAACAGGAAATGAAATCTTGAGTCTCTTAAGGGGAACGTGTCTCATGGAATCTGCTACAAATACAGGAAAGTTGTACTTGGAACACATGAAAGCTAAATTTTGTCTTCACTCCTTTAATCTCTGCTTCACAAGCATCTCCAGAAAACAGGCATCAAGGATTGGATCTGGTTTGCACCCTCTCTAAATTTCTTATCAGACCAGGTGAGAAAATATTTAGTGCTCTCACTTCTCTTTGGTCACTTATTGTCACCCTATTTAACTGGTTTTCAAAATTACCTGCACTGCACGATAACCCAGCTAAGGAATTGGACACAGAGGCAAGCTAAAAAGCTGAAGGAATGCAGCACAGAATGAGAACAATCAGCACAATGCTGTTAAAGCCTTCTGGGGAGAAATCCACAGAATGCTTACCTAAAAAACAGTATTTATCCTACCAGTAATGTTGGCGGTAAACTGCACTGAGACAATTACAAACACATTAAAAACTCAATTCAGAAACAATTTCTATTAATATTCTAATGATCCTGCTCATTGAAACTGCTATCATTTTGAACTAAAGAATGCACCAGTGCTATTACTTCAGAAAAAACAAAGGATAAACTCTTCAGGCAAGAATTCCTTGTGACTAGGTAACAGAAGGTACATGTTGTGAAACTTGTGACAAATTCCAAGTTCCAAAAAATTACATTTATGAAGAAAAAGCTTTTCCTCTTCTCCCAATACCAGAACTATCTTAGAAGTTATGAACTGATCAAGATGGGCTTTTCTAAACTTTTGTTCAATCTCTGTGACAGCCACACAGAGTTGAACATGCACCAAAATATTTTTAAGCAGTAACTTAAAAGTTTACTATCATATTTGAGTAGGAAGTACTGCTGTGGATATATGAATTTTTAACCAGCAAATTTATTCTGATTAATTGACCTTTATGCAATTTAAGCCACCCCTTCTTTTTAACAAAGCAGTTATAATCCTTCCTTTAGAGGTTTCAAATGGTTTCATGATTTTAAAGGAAACTGGCACTCAAGTTTAAATGTTTTAACATTTACTTTAACAATTTATGTGGAAGCTTGCTTTTGCATAAAAAGACATATTTTAGTTGCTTGGCTGAATTAGTACTACCTTCACCACAAATTCCTTAACTTTCAGCTTTTAATACCATTTTTAAATTCAGCAAGGCGAAACAAAACCACCACCGTCCAGGAAAGATAGATATAAACAATTTGAAATATTTAGCAGCACTGAATGAATCACACAAATGTGTACCCTCAAGGAGGATTTTTTCACATAATGGCCAAAAACAAATTATCAGAAATCAATGAAGTTTAAAGGACTATCAGAATACAAGCGTGGAAAGTTTCCCATGATAAAATGAATAAAGACAGTAAGGTGCACGTAAGATGTTTATCCTAGAAAAGATAAATAAAAATGTTTATGCAGCAACTTCCTCTTTCTCATTCAAACAAAAGACAAAGCCTAACAGGCCTTTCATTTTAAATATTCCATTATACTTAGGAATACAGTTTAGTCTGTGGAAGTTGCTGCTACAGAAACCAAGTAAAATGGCTTCACAAAATTCCAGTGGAAAAATGTAGGATAGTCTTAAAAGCCTTGGGAGAAGTGATTAACAAACACACATGCTAGCAACCATATAAATATAAATCTTTCAGGGCAGAAGATAACATCTAGCCTGGGAAACTGAGGTTGGTTGGGGCTTGGTTTGGTGTTGTGTTGGGTTTTTTCTTACAAGCAAGTTATTTCACAGAGAGCTTTTATAACATCTCTTATACTTTCCTGAATGAAAGAAGAGTCATGAATAAAAACAGAATATGGGACTGGACAGCACAACACTCTAATTCATATTACAGCACATTTGAAATTTTCAGTGTTTAAAGAGAGTTTGATTATTTTTGTAGTGCAAGAAATTACCAGAAGACAGGGTACTCAGAGCAGTAAGCTTTTAGCAACAGACAATCATTAAAAAAACTTAAGCCCCACACAAAAAAAAAATCAAAACAAACAAACACACACCCCATCAAATTTACCACCCACACTTCGGCATCAAGAGGGCACAAACCTACACACACCATTTAGGTTACATGGCAATTTATAAAAATACGAATAACTACTTACCTACTACTAGCCCACACTCAGAACAAATCATATCACCAGCTCTGTAATCCTCCACTAAAATGGAATCTGGATGATTTGGGCAAGTAACCCTCGGAAGCACATCCAAACTAAAAAAAAAAAAGGCAAAAAAGTTCCTTGATGATAAGAACACTTCAGTAATACAGCACTTAATGTTTTAAATTATAGAATATTAACTTGATTATCTGAGCTGCACTTTTTATATGAATGCTGCAACTACATTTGACAATTAAGACTTCAAATCCCCTAAATTCCAATTTTCTTGTAATGTATCTTGTACCAAAATCACTTCAAATCAAACACTAAAAATCTACATAACAGACTTGATTAAATGCAGTGTAACTCAAACTACTGCTAAATGAAATTTCCTAAAAAGTTAGTGGTGATTTCTTCATTCCAAATGAGCATTTTCACTCCTTCTACTCAGAACAGTATTATTTACCAGGTCCTTAACTCAAAAAGTTACATATACAACATGTATGCTTGGAAAATTCCCAATTCAGACACTGATTTATTTTAAAGTATTTGAAGAATGAATTCCATTTTAAATTAAGCAATGCATAGTGAAATCTTAACAAAAAATAATCAGCTCCTAAGGCAATTACATGACAAGAAGTTCTGAAAACAGGGATCTCTTTCACACTCATGGATCTTCAGGAATTACAACTTACCATAAAGCATTAGCATTATTTAATAAACAGCTTTTAGTTACTGACTAAAGTAACAACCAATTGCTTCTAACCAGATGTTTTAAAAGTAAATACTTCGTATTAACAATATGTTACATAATTCTACTAGAATTATTTCAAAATGGGAGTAAAAATTGTTTACAATTGGGATCCATATATTCCACAAAGCCATTCTGCTAAAGTTTAAAAGCACAAGAAATTGATCTCAAAAAATTTATCATTACTAACTTCTATCTGAATAAGCCAAAAAAACAATTTGTAATCCATTCAATTGTAAAAATTTTTCCAATAGAATTACTCTGAGTTACCCCATTTTCCACAATTCTTTCTGCCATTAATTCAGCCTAACCTACACTCCCCATCTTAATTTTCATTTTTTAGGTATTTCCAATGAGTCTAGAACACAAAAAATCAGAACATTTTAATCCACTGACTCTTCACAAAAATGTCTGCAACCTGAAACTAAAACTGAAAACCAACATAACTATTAATATTAAAACCTCCAGACAGCATGTCAACACAAGATGTTCAGATGTAAATTATGTTCAAAAGAGTACATGAAAGCTCTTTAGACTACTTTCCTTCTATTCCCAGCCACAAGTTTCATATGACAACACTGTTGACAAAGCATTCACAATCATCTGACATTTGGCATTACATAAAAGGCAGTGACACACCAAGCAAAAGGAAAAAAATGCAGATGTCTCAAAGAATACCAACCATGTTTTGTTTCAGACTTTAACTTCATAAAACACTGCAAAAATTTGTCTTCCCATCCCAATTTAACTCGGTTTATCTACCGACACATATACGCTGTACTCCTCGCAATGGGTTCAATTTACTAAGCCACCTACACCCAAGGAAAATGCATGGCACGTGTGTAAAGGCCCATCCCAGCAAATAACTCCCGGCTTGCAGCAAGACTACTCGGAAGCGCTTCCTAGATCCCAGGACAGGTTTAGCAGGCGTTACAGTCACTCCGGTCTGCTCCGCGGGCTTTCAGACTAGAAAGGAGAACTCGGAGTGTCTCCAGGAGGAAGGAATTCAGAACCCGAAACCCGTCTGCCCGCTGACTAGCGCCGGTCCGGATTTAGGGTGGGAGCCTGAAAGCAGTTTGCAGGCCCCGATAAGGTGGAGCCAGGCCAGGGAGCTGCACTCGGCTCAAGGCACCGCTGAGCACGGGGGACACGGGGGCCGCAGCTACCGGTGCCCGGCCGGGGGACACGGCGGGACGGGCTCGGTGCCACCTCAGGCCCGCCCGGCCCGGCCCCAGCCGCGCTCGGGGGACAGACCAGGCCGAGCCACCGTTCGCACCGAGCTGGGGCTGACGAGGAGCTCCGCACGCAGGACATCAATCCCCCAAAACCCTCGGCGTCTCCTCGGAGCGCTGCCCAGCAATAGCGACACGAAGACGCAGAGGCGGCAAGCTCGGCCCCTTAGAGGCCGCTCAGCTGTGGGCCGCCCGGCGCGGCCCGGCCCGCACGAACAGGCGCCCTGAGGCCCGCCCGCCCGCCGCCCTAAGGAACGGCCCCGACAAACAGGGCACCGGAGAGGGGCCGGTGCGCCGCGCACCGCGAGAGCCGTGCTAAAACGGCAGCACCGGGGCCGGGCAAGGGCGGTGATGGCCGCCGCTCAGTCCCCAGGCGGTAGCGGGGGCGACGCAACCATCCTCTGCCCGTGCCGCGGACGGGAGCGATGTCGGAGCCGGAGCCGCTCCTCCCTCGGCCCCCCGCGCCCAGCCCGCCCCCGTACCGGCTGGTGGACGCCATGTCGGCGGTGCCGCAGCAGGGCCAGATAGCGCGCGGCCCAGCGGCCCCTGCAATTAAATCCCGAGAGCGGCGGGCGGGGCCGCCGAGCGCTCCTACGGGTGCCGCGAAGGGGCGGGCGCACGCTCGGGGCCGGCTCGGGCCCGGGCCCGCGGGCTGGAGCGCTCCCCTCGGGCCGAGCAGCAGCCCACAGACCCCTGCACAAAGCCCACCGTGCCGGCCCCGGGCCGTGACTCCGCTTCAGCTGCTCTTGTGCACATTTGTAGTTTCGGGAATTCCCACAGCAGACAAGCGTGAGCAAAACTGCCGCAAGTTTGCGCAAAGTACATTGGGGTTTCTTTAAGAGAAAGACTGAAAATTTTAATTTTTATTTTTAAAAGACTGAAAATAACCTCTGAGTTACATTACACATATTTCAGTAAATCCTTGTTTTAACTCCTCAGCAGGTATCAGGAAAAAAGTTATTTACAATGTCATGTCAATTCTGTACTGTATCAAGTAATTTTTTTCTTACATTTCCAATTTTAAAAAACCCTACTATTAGATAGTTACACTATATGGAAGAGTTAATAAGATAAATCAGTCTATTTGTTCCAGTTCTTCAGGATCACTTCAGCTGCATCTAGTGTGCTGTCTTTCTGCAAAACAAGAAACAACACTATTACTGCAAGTACTGAGTTCCTGAAAAGAGGCAATCATGATTATATCATCTCAAATCAGTTGTTGGTTGTTTCAGCTGCATCCTGTAAATTTCTTTTCAGCCAGTTTTTCATTGACAGTTGTCAGGTAGAAATCTGGACAATACAAAGAAAACAGTGCTGATTCTTTGAAAACATTTATTAGATATATTTAAAAGATACCATCTCAGCATTCATTTAATGAAAGCAAAACTTACATAAATTCATGGCATTAATGCAGTGATGTAACTTAGCAGCTCTGGTTTGGAGACAAGCTAGCACACTTTCCTAATCCCTGTGAGTACAGTTGGGATTTTTCAAACTCCCTGCAGCCCGGTTATGCTGTGAACTACTTAAACATAATCCCTCCAAACTGTGTTGCTTGGCTCCAGCCTCGTGAGTCATACAGGCAGTCTAGCTTAAAACCATTAGTGCTGTTTGTCAGCCACAGGTACAACCAGTAACTTCATCTTGCTTGTTTCTGGCTCAGTTTATGCCATAGACTTTACACCTCATCAGAAGAAGTAACACAAGGAGAAACTCCCCTTCATTACTGTTTCAGGCTAAGGCTCTGATCTTTACACAGAACAGCTCAGGATTTGCACATGCTCCATTATGCTGACTCTGTTACACAACAATTGGGAAACATCTCAGGGCTTTGGCCTTATTGAAGTTTACATACCTGTCCCTAAAGCCTTCCAGCCTTTCAAGAACAAACTTAACAGGGGAAGAATATTTGCAAAGAAGGTGCTCACAAAATGGCAAAAACCTGCCAATTCACAAAAAAAACCATGTTTGCTTCTGTAATTTGGAGCTCACATGAAGTCTGTGTATTTTCAGGCAAGTGAGCTAAATTTGAAGGTGTCCTCTTCACTGTTTTTTGTATTGGACACTGAATGGACATGGGGCACACACTCTGCTATACAGTTATTCTCTGCTCTGGATTATGGGTATCACATTAATTGATAGCTTACCTGTCTCAATAATTTTCACTGTCACCACTGGTCAAGAATGTTTTTTGAAATCAATACAATAAGCTTAAAAGGGCTACCCATCCAGTTATTTTCTGCCAGTTGCCCTTCCTGGCCATGCCACCTACACTGATGGTGTAAAGTCCTTCAGCAAAAAGACAATTGAAGATACTTTGTGCTGAATTTTACATCAAATAAACTTTATGTTCCTAAAAGCTTTCAATACAAGAGATCCTGGGAAAAATGTAGGTCAGTCTCTTGCAGATTCCTGTACTGCATTGATTTCAGGACACAAGCTTACCTTAATGAAGCAAAACCGTATGTATTTTTCAAACTGTTTCTTTGTCTCAAGAGCACAGAATGCTGAAAGAGGAATTGCTGACAGCTTCTGAAACACAAAACAGAAATAGCATTTGCTTATTTAAATGTGTATAAGAAATCTGGTTTAAGCATGATGATTTTACTATTCTGTTTCTAGAACTCTCCCTCCCAACACATGAGGGAAAGACAAGGTTCAGTTTTGTATGCACTAGCTACAAAATTCACATTACTTTTTTTAGGCAAAATATTTCACAGGTACTTTTGTACAACTAACACTTAAGCTTCCTGAAAGAAAAGTGCTGGGATGTAGCAAAAACCTACAGTGTACATTTTCAACATACTTACAATATTTTAGTCACACCATTATCAATAACACCAAATAATATTTTGAATGGAACATCTCTACTACATTATTTAATAACTACAGTTGCACTGCTCTTGCTTTCAATAGAAAAGCATTGGTAAAACTAGAGTATGACTAAGATATCTTACCTTAGATGCTATCATCCATTTGACAAATTTATAATCATAAGGTTGTTTCTCATCTACATCAGAGAGATCCACATCTAAGTGTAAAACAAATATGTTGTAAGATTTCCTAGACTCCAATGGGAAGGCATTCATTAACAGCATTTTATTACAGTTAATATTTGAGAATGAAATTATATGTGTTTTTTAATTTATAATTTTTAAATTATACTCTAAGGAGTAAAATAGGCCAACAGATTGAACCTTTTCCTTCTGATCTGAGCACTTGTTTTCCATCCAAAGCAAATTCAGACATGTAGCTTGGAGGAAAGCCATGTAATACTCCAAAAGTCCTAAAGTCTGGACTATTGGGGATCTGGGCTATGGAGGGTACTGAAGAGTGCATTTATTGCATGGACAGCAATAATCCCTGAAAATGCAGTTTTCTCATCTGTGAAACTGAGCTACCTAAAACTTCCTGACACATGATTAAACTGTGATATCTTTCTGTGTTTAAACATTTCTGTCTAAATGACAAATGCCATTTAGACTAGTTAATGAAAAAATGTGGAACTAAAAAGACCTTCCCCTGTGTGAATTCTTTCTCTGAAGCTACCATAGCCTGAATTTTAAAAAGGTTTGTAAATTTTGGTAGCATTCAGTGTTTAGAGATCAGAATGCTTCAAACAGCCTTTAGGGCGTGACTTCAGATTAGGAGAAACAAAACAAAACAAAACAAAAAACCAAACAAACAAAAAAAAAACAGAAAAAAGAAAATGCAAATGGTATGAACTCAGTATATTATCCAGGTGCTTGGCTCTCATTCTCATAATCACAGATGTTTTGAAAATAGGAAAGTTTATCTACCTCCTTTATCCCCTCTAAAAACATGTCATGGCTTTGCAAAGCATGGACAAGTTAGGATCACAAATGCTTTGCTGAAGCTCATAAAATCTACCTTACCAGCTAAGGTGAAACTGAAAATTTCAATCCCAGTTAGTACTCCTGACAATGTTATGCACACATATGGGTGCATATGAGATGAGAATATAGTTTAAAATGAAAGCTGAATTTTCCCATTAACCAAATTTACTTTCCACACACTCTTTAATAAACTTTATACTGACTTAACATGGAAACATCAACGATCATGAAGTATCCTCCATCTGGAATGACAGGCTTCAGTCCAGCCCCTTTCAGTAGCTGAGCCATCCGATCACGTTTGCTCTCCAGCTCTCGAGACAGAGAGTAAAAATAGCAGTCAGGGTGATCCATGCGCTTATAGTCCGTCCAAAATGCCTGTGCCAAAGCCTCCTGGAAACACAGGGCAAGAGCACTCATTAACACTCAGTACCCTCACAGACACTCCCACTTCTGCTGAAATCGTGGAATTTTGTTCAATCCTGGCCCATATTAAGCAAATCACCACACAAATTACACAAGATACATCTGTAATCTGTTAATTACTTTGTGCGGTGGCATTGCTCAAAACACCCAATCTTTTGCTAGGCACTAATCATACACTGAAGTCAGAGTCCTGACACAAAAGTTTACAATCTGAATTGAAGCTAAATTTAATTGTTTCATAATAATGGACCATAGAATACTGGACACTATTAGACAGAACTTTCATTTACATTTGCTAGGAAACCATTAAGATTTCATGTTTTATGCAACACGTAGTTTGTAGGTACAAGATGACAGAATCCACAAGATTTTTTTTTAAATGTCTGGTGAGCTGATCAAATTTGTTTCCTCCTCTTACCCCCTAGAATATGTATCTTGACAACTAAAAGTTCATTGTTGTGATTACTGTTTTATTACATGAGGCCAACAGCTTTCTTACACCAGAAAACAATCTCCTTTGCCCATCTGTACCTACCTGCAATGGAGTTGGGCAAGTGTAGAGTGTATTTTGGTGAACAACTTGCAAATGCTTAATCAGGTGCTCAGGACCAATGGACCAACCAAGCTAAGGGAGGAAAGGGTGCATATATTACACTTACAGGCAGTGGTGTTACTAAGAGATAACAAATACTAAAAATTAGCCAATGTCTTGAGTTTTTTCTATTTTAAGCATTTGTTTTGATTAATTATTAAGAAAAAGCTGGTTTACACAAAGCTTGGTGTATGACGCCTTTAAAAAATGGTAGATTTGAGACAACAATTCTATTTTCCCTTATCCCTATCTCTCATAGAATACTGAGTAAACTTTTAACTCTTCATAAAACAAGAGTTAGAAATCCAACTGAACATTTATTAGAATTGTTATTTCTAATTGGTTTAGAGCCTATCCATCTCTTAAGCTCCTATGTCAAAGCCAGTTTGAATATAAATCAAAAACTACTGCATCATATATGCTGTGGTTCACTTTGAACACATGCTGATGAACACATGGTGATGAAAAATTTAGTTGCTAAAAATATTTTTTTCACTTTCTGATACATATTTAAAGTAAGGGAAAACTGGGAAGTTAAAATATTACAATATCCATGTTTTCTCCAAGAATCTTTACTGATTTTGAACAAAACATACTGTGGTGTTTTTTAGTAATTTATGCTCACAAGAGCTTATCAGTTAAGAGACAAGAAGATAATTAAGACATGGGTGTTAAAAATAGGTAATTGCTCCAACTGAATGGTATTGTCACATTTGGAGACATGAAGATTTGCCAGAAATTTTCAGAACACAGGTCATAAAAACAGAGGTGTTTTTAGAGTAATAAATGCATTCTATGTAATTTAACTAATTCATATTGATTCTTCTTACCTTCCAGCCAGTTACACTGTATGTTTTTCCAGCACTTCCTATAGTTACTGTTCTTTCCCACATACCTGGCAATGTAGCTGTACATAAAATAAAATTAATTTGGTACAGGTGCACTCACATATTCCATGTAATTTGAGAACTGCAGTGCCCCTAGCTAAGAGCTGTATGTTCATTGCAGCATCTTAAGCAAACAACAAGAATATTCTGAAATTATAGGAATTGTAACAAATAAAAAAGGATATATGGGCCAGTGCTTTTTAGCATGAAAAGAAGGTAAGGATTAATGAAAAGAGAAAGAAGAGACAGAAAATTAGAGGTACAGTTCGAAAACTACATGTTAATTATCCTCAGCAAAAATGCACAATTATCCGTAAGAAAATTATTATCTAAGGCCATCCATTCACCCCAGGACAGGTTATTTCTGATGCCTGGTAATAGTACTATACACAACTCAGGCACTGCAACCCTCTTTACTAGAATTGTCCAGTTCAGTGTCACTGGCTGTCTCAGACATCAGAAAAAGAAACTAATTACTAAGACTTCTAACCCAGAACCTAACAACAGAACACCAGAAAACTAGCAGAGTGAGTAAATAAATTATGCTGTATTGTACAATTTGAACAGGCCTGAGACTGACTGACGATAGCAGTTAGCTAAAATGTCTGGAAGGATTAAGAGACTCACAGAGGCCTGTCTCTGTCTTTGCAGTTGTATCTGATAGGAGACCAAAATCCTTTGTTCCCTTTCCAAGGAGATAAGAGAGCAAAGGTCTCTTCCTGTAGTTTGCAATTTTTTTTCTCTATACAGCTTCTGCAAAGCTCTGCTTGGACTCTAACTTAATTAATTTCAAGACAAACAGACAAATCCAGACACACCTAAGTCTGAGACACAAAGCCAGTCAAGGCTGCAATTACAGTAGTCACCAACATCTGACTTCACCTCATTTGCATACTAGAAGCCCTACCAGTGAATCTGTCAGTTGTTAAATCCCCTCTCTAGCAAGACCAATGAACAAAGACTTTCCAAATTAAACTCCTGAATTTCACGAGGAAGGTTTTGTGGCAGTTACCAGCATTAGACATGGCATAAGTCTTTCAGCTATTTGAAAACATGTATTGCAATTTTTGGAGCAAACTTACCAAGAAGAGAAACCAAACAGCATGAAAGAAACTGATTTTTCTATTAGCCTAGCCATACTCAACTACTCTGTGACCTTGAAAAGAAAAAGTTTGAACAGATGTATCTTCTACCAAGCTAGGCCAACAGTAGAGATCATTTCCTAGAGACACCCAAACCTGCTCTCACAGACTGCATCAAGAATTGCCTTTCAAAGCTAATGGCCTCTAGCAAGCCTGTTTTGCCACATAGTCACAGGAATTCAGCCTTGGAGATAGAATGTGACAGCTTTTCAAACAATAGCAGCAGTACAAGGGCACAGAGAAAGAAGCAGCTCCATTGCTTTCCCAAACAAGTTTTTAATAGAGAGGGAAATTTCCCCGTGGCAACCATATATGACATCACATGACACCATAACCAAGTCTGACTACAATTTAAAAACTAATGAAGTGCAACTAACATATAATAAGCCTGTTACCTGGGATAGTACTCAGCTTGTTGAGTGGCTTGCTCAGAATCCTCAGCTATGAGGTGTGATCTCTAAATCTGTCAGTGCAACCCTAATCATTATGCAGAGGAAGTCCACGTTTTCACAGAAGTCAGATGATGGGAAACATGATGAAGTGTTGTAGGCTACAGAAAACTGCTTCAGTGACAGCACAAAGACTGTACTAATTTTATGAGCTGTGGCTAGCAACTCCTGCTAAATTGTATGAAGGAACAACTATCAGATCCTGTAAATTGATGCAATATCCATTTTGTATCTCCCACAAAAAAAAAAAGTGTCACTGCATTGGATAGAATATATGGAAGTTATTATGGAAGCACAAGAGTTTATAAATAGAGAAATAACACACTCATTTTTATTGTATTGTTTTTGTAGACTTAAAATTAATAAGGAATAGGAGAAACTTAAGTAAAAAAAGAGCAGAGTCTGTTTCTTTTACTGAAATAATGTTATTGTTTACAGTGTTACCCTGAAAGTTCTAGAGTACTTTTAACACTAAAGTTAATGATCTCATGGGATGTGTTAGAGAATCCATACCTAAACCTAGCTGACTATCTTTCTGGGCTTTAATTTGCATTTTCTTTATACAGTACTTTTACATTTTATGCTAAATTACAGAATGTCTGTGGTTTGTTGCAATGTTTTGGTTTGAAGCATTAAGGTGCTGATGACAATGGAGATATTTCATCTTAAGAATTCACCACCTGTCCATAAGATGAAGTGTAGCTGACAATGTGATTGGACCTGCTGTTGTTGAAAAGGAAAAGGGATTACCTTACACCACACAGAGATTTTGATTCTGAAGACAGCCTTGCATGAAATGCTAAGGCCATGAAACACCTGCTAAGCCCACACAGAAATCTTTAATCTAACTGACTTCACTTTGCAGCTGGGACACATGATCAGTTACTGTTAGGTAACCTGTTAAGGTGCAGTGATTCAGATTACTATCACATTAATGTACCCAAAGTGTTCTCCTTCTTCCTTGTCTTTGAGACTATCACTATCAAGGTAACCACTACAGCCAGGAATTAGGTCACCCTCAAAACAGACTCACAGCCTATGCATGGCCAATATAATCAATGTACTGCAGCTGGATGATCAGCAACTGTGCAGCTCAGCTAACAAGTACTGCAAGGTCATTTAGATATCATTTTCTTTCTATTACTCATAAGATTCAATTTTCACAATGATGTAGCCCCCACCAATGGATTTTGTTGTCACTCTACAAATATGGAGTTGAAGCCTAGAAGCAAAGTTATTCAGCATTCAACCAGTGGCAGAGCTAGGGAAAAAGGTAAGTCTTTTCAGGTCTAATTTATACTTAAGTGTCTTGATTTCATTGTTTAATCTAACTGTATGCCTCTATTGCACATGACTGAAATGTGCCTTCCATACAATAAGTACATCAGAACAGGTGGCTCATGCAAGATGCTACCATCAGAAACAAAGTATCTGTACATATGAGAAGGAAGTTTTGGACTTTTCAAATACATCAGCAGAGCCAACCCAAGGCCACCAGATTAGAAATTTTCACAGAAATACATAGCTGTAGCATTATAGAACTGGAAAAGGAGTTCAGTAACCTTAGGTTAAATTGTTCTAAGGCAGTGGGAATGATTCTACTAACTTCAGTGAAACTTGGATCAAGTAAAACAAGAGGATCAAGAACCTGGCATCACTATTTGTTTTTCTGGTTTGTTCTTGCAATGTTGCTTTACCCCTGTAACACTACCTGCAGATTTAACAGGCTGTCATACTGCACTTGCAGGACTTAGTTCAATGAATTCAATGTCTAATATTTAATCCTGTCTCCATCCTTGGGAGGGACAGTGCTCATGCACTATCTCCACAATGACTGTTATACTGTTTTCTGGTTTTTTATAATTAGTGGAGCAAAAATAATTGTGTTCCTCATTGTCCATTTCCCTCATTATTATCTCTACAAAGCTTTGAGAAGAAAGTTCTAATTCCTGTTCCTTCTATATCTACTTCAGCAAAGCACTGTCTAATATACATAGAATAACAGCAACTATACTAGTCATGGCCAACAGAGTAACTGAATAAGGATGGTAAATTCATATGATCAGCAAGCATCAGTCCCACTGGTTTCTATGGATATCTGCTCCAAAGTCACTTAAGAGCCTTGGAAATTCTATTTAGAAATTATTCTTTAACATAATTTTTAGAAAAGAGAGAGGATTCCCTCCTAAGACCCTAAACACTGAAAAATTTCAAAGCTTGAAATATGAGCTTCTTCCAGCAAGCATTATCCTTGGGAGACAAGTTCACACCATCATTCCATTACTACTTCTAAGATGCCACAAAAAATCAGTACCTATTTTAATGTGTTTATTCCCTTTATACACCAGCCATTCATACACCTCATCACTGATGCACAGGGTGTCATGTTTAATACAGAGATCAGCTATTACTTGGAGCTCTTCCAGGGTAAAAACCTGGGATACAGGAAAAGTAAAGGAAAATACATTAATCACAGTATTTAAGGCATTCTTTGAAATTAAAGTGGTGTTAAAGCAGGACTCTTACCTTGCCTATCGGGTTGTGTGGAGTATTTAGAATAATTGCTTTTGTTTTGGAATTAAATTTATTGGCAAGTTCAGCAGGATCTAAGACCCAATCAGCACTAGATGCAGTGTTTCCATCCTTTTTCTAAAAAAAAAAACAACCCACAATAAATTTATATGTGACTTTAATACATGTTGCAGCCTAAAGTTGCTCAACTTTTCATGCTCAAATACTTTCATAACCATATGTGACAACCTATCCAATCTGTCTTGCTCACCTAAGAGAGGTTGTTCTAGGAACAGGTAAACTATAGTGACAGTGGCTGTCCTCCTCTGGCCACTGTCTGTCCTAAAGCCCCTGCAGGAATTGGTTTCCAGGATCTTGTTGCACACATGCTGATTATTATAGTGTGTAATGCAGTCACATGGCAGGAGAGTTTACAGACTTGCCACACAGTAGAGCAAGTGTGTGCTTGCTTGACTGAAAAGACTGATCACCACTGGGGATTCAAGGTCTTTTCCTTCTCCTTAAACTAATGAAAATGGCCAAAGAGCTAAAAATCTGCAGTACTGAGTCCCTGGAGTTTATATATACACAATACAAGTATCCCTGAGGTATTACAAATGGTTAAGGAGTTTGGGCCAGTAGGTACAGAGAACAACAGAGCATGGCCACACCACCCTTGTGACACCTGCAATGACTGGGAGAGGGCCAGACCGAAAACAAGAGTGTGAAACAGAAAATGCTTGGAGGTGCCCTGTCATTCAAAACATCCCTAGAAGATGGACTTCCACCTACTCCCACTGCAGTCCTGGAGGTTTTGTCATTCTGTGTTGTTCTGATTTCATGGTGTTCCTGCAACAGTGCTGCCCAAAGAACCCCTCAGCAAGGCTGCCAGTTGCACAAGGCACAGCTGGCATACAGAACAATCCTTGCAAGCTGTGGGCATAATGCCAGCAGTACCAATTTGACAATTAACCTATAGCCTATTTAACAATAAAGGAAACAGTAATTCTGTATGTATATCAAATACATCTACTACACGATCAGTCCTTATTTAGCAACCATACTTTGGAAAATAAACTGTATTCTGTCATTGTAGGAATTGCCATAGGGATCAGGAACCAAACCTTTTGAAAACCAACTGACAGAGAAATTGCACTGATACGTGGATCCCCCTTCCATAATTTGCACTGAAAACTGAAGAAAGCAGTTTTAATCAGCTTTCAGAATGCACAAATTAAAGCAAATAAGAAACATTGTCACACCTTCTCCAACACTAATAAAATATTCTCTTTTGGATTATCATTGTCTCAGACTTACACTCTAGCAATCTATCTCATTTTTATGTAATTTGACATTATGAAAAACTATACAGAAAAGCATCATACAGGTGTTCAGCAAACTGCATTGAACATGGATGAGAAACTTTATATAATTAGTAATTTTTAAAAAGTTACTCACACATCTTAGTGGGATAAAAACAGGCTTTGCACCCGCCATCTTTACCATTGGTTCATAACAGTCATAAAATGGCTCTATAATTATTACCTGAAATGACAATCATCAGTATCAGAAACAAAGAGTTTACTGTGCATGATACATCCTATTTCTACTTTTACCTTGGTGCCATAGGTTGATAATGTTTCTGGCACTCCAGGTTTAATGTTATAACACTGCAGAATATTCCTCCTTTTAGAGTACAATACAACAATCCCCTCAGGCTAAGTATGATATGCACCACTCATTTTTGACAACACACAGAGGCTGTTTCTCTAGTTACACATCTAGAGCTATTGAGCTCTAATAATAAGAGTGTTTGAGACCTACACACAGATTTGAAGGTACAAAGCAAAGATGGGAAATAGCAATGGTAAATTACTGAACCACAGAAGAGCTGCTTTAATTATGCCCATGAAATTCCAGGATTTCCAAGTATATAGAAATCTCAAAAGAACATTTAAGTCTTCAAATTTTATCAATAATTCTCAGGTAAAGAAAGAGGGAAAACTCAAGAAAAACTGCACAGAGGCTAGACAATAGGAAAACAAAACAATCAAAAAAAAAAAAAACACCAAAAGCAAAGGCTTATAGAACTATTCCAAACAAAAGAGAAGTGACTATCAGAGCAACAGAAAAGCAAGATGAGAATACAATATACAAATGAAATTAATGAAACACTGAAAGCAAAATATACAACAACACAAAAAGGTTTTATCCACTATGGATACAAATATTCCTGTAAAATGACTTTTTATTTCATTGTCCAAAAGGCAGATATCAGTAATAGTGAAGAGCTGAGCCATCACAGCTAGTACGGTAACTAACTAAGCTTTTCTGTGCCCTACGCTCCCACCATGCAGTGGCCCAAAACAGAACCTGATACATAATGGTTACCAAAACACCAACAATTCTTTGTGCCCTCTATTGCAGACAACATCCCACATGTTTTCTCAAATAAGAAATCAGTCTGTATTGTGTCACAGTAACAATGATAAAGAAACTGCCACAGATACCCTAAGTGTGAAAAAAGGTGTTTGTAAATTGATGAGTGATAGGAAGACATCCAAAGGATGGTCTCCTAATCACAGCTTCTGAAACCATAAGTCAGATGTACAACTGTAAAAAATCAAACCAATAGGGACAGAAAGAAGCCCCAACATTAACTTATATTTAGAAGCAGACAAATAAGAAAAAGAGAAAGATTCTCAGGTCTGTGAGTATATGTGAATATTTCCAGTAAAAACTTACTTCATCTCCCTCTTCAATTAGTGCCTGTATTGTACTAAAGAGAGATCCATAAGCTCCCACAGTCACCAGGATATCTGTGAGAGGATCAATCTTTCTTCCACAAACTTTCTCATAGACTTGAGACAAAGCTTTCACCAGTGATGGATGTCCCTGTTCAAAACAAAAAGAAAGTACACTGATTCGAGCGTGCCTGACAATGTATAAAGCCTGAGTTTGGGCTCTTTTCTATGTGTATCAAACTATTACATTTTGAAATAGAAAAATACAACATTAGCCCTCAGTGTTAATGGCTGCTATGAGGTAACAGGGTTTAAAGTTTTTGCACACTAGGAAAGAAAAGTTTGTTTTCAATTTATTTGTATCTACTTGGGAATTTTTTGTTTCTATCTGGTGCTTTTTAATTTCTTTGATATTATCACATCTCAGAGTAGGTCCAGATAGCCTATAGCCCAGCTAGGACAAGAGACAGAAGGAGAGAAGGGAATACTCTGACACCAATTCATCCTCACCTCCTCTCGAGTCTCTTTCATCTCCTGTTTCCTCTCTTATCTTTCAACTAAAAGTATTCGGTGCAAATCTTTTTATTGTATTTATTTATTGCTGATAAATAGCACTTGTGATCAAAATATTGATTCATAGAGAGACATCCCAAATCTCAGAGTACCATTCACCATTTGTGTCCCCTCCAGGGACATGGCAGCAATACAAGTATTTCTTTCTCATTCTCCCATTGTACTGTCTGATTCATGTTCGCATGACTAAAGTCAGAGGTAAATAACCTACACTCTTTAAAGTGAATCAGCTCCTCAGAGACCTCCCAGACCTGCTCTACCATTCTGCTCTTGCTGAAGGGTTCTGCCTTGAAGAAGCCTACACAGAGAAAGTTCATTAGTAACAGACAAAGCTACTAGATGAACTTAATTTGGGACATAAGACTATGATCTGTAGATAAAACTAATTTAAAGTCAACTTTTTTCCCTGTGGCACATTTTCCACTGAACTCGGGTCCTGGAGTTCCACAATACTTACAAAGCCTCGGGTGTACTGGTTCAGTCTGTCAACTGCTGCTACCTTTGCCAGCTCCTCTTTAACATAGCTGGGAGGGGATATATCAGGAAGGCCTTGGCCGAGATTAACAATTGAGGGATCTGCTGCCACTTTTGTAAATTCAACCCTGGAGGGAAAAACATCTTAAAGTTAACATACCAGATAAAATTATCTTTTTATTCATTAGCACTAGAAGGCAAAACAAAAATATTTCAGTTTGCCAAATTCTCAGCAATGGGAACAGGTTTAAGTAGAATGGAGAGCTGAGGGCTGAAACAATGTGATCAAAGAGTCAGAGGGCACTCAAGGAAAGATTGATGTTCTGCATCTATAGAATAACATTTCTGGTAGAAGTGTGCTCAGATGTGCAGATACACAAATGCACAGTTACTCTGGATATATGCAGAAATTGTCCTAAAGATTAAAATCAATCAATTGAAGGTGTCATTTAAACTACCCAGTCACCTCAGAGTGCTGTAATTTTTTAAAGTAATTTTAGGCAACAGACTGTTTCAGGTTGCCTATTAACTGTTTCTAATAACCTGAGGATCCTTGAACAATTTTTCCTTCCTCCCTTCACAGATCAGCTTCACATTTTACTCTTTCCTCCCTACTGAAATTTTAAAAAAATTAAAAAAAAACAAAACAAAACAACCCTCTCCCCATCATTACCCTCCCACATAGCATCACAGTCCTGTGAAAAATGAATACAAATTGCTAAAAATTAGCTTGAGGCTGAATAATCAAAACACCTTGTGTATATGTACACACAAGTAATGCAACACATACATACAACTAAGGTAAGCCCAAAATAGTCTTTTCACCAACTAAGAAAATTCCATATTTATCAGTGAGGGCAATATTGCTTTAAGACCAATTTAATACCTAGAAAAAGATGTATTAAAAATAATGAGCCAATTTATAAAACAAGTATAATGGTTTATTATAAAAAAAGTATAATGGCTTTAATAAAAATCTGACTTGTTTGGTAAACACAAATCAGGTGTAATTGAAACACATTATTCAACAGAATTAACATTTAAATTTGAAAATCAGCTATACTACCATGCCCATGAGTTATTTGTCTTACATGGTTTTATAGATGAAGAGAAGCCCAAGCCTAATATTTAAAGCTCAAAAATAAAAATTAATCACACCTTTAATTGAATTTAATTCACTGCTTCTAAACAGGTGCCAAATACATTCCAGCAGGGATAGCAACTGCCATATATCTTATTATTAGCAATAATTCTCCTTCTGGAAAGAAAATACATCAGCCAAGGACATTTTCTGACACTTGCAGATATTTTCCTCTTACTTACCACACATTGCTATCAAGGCCTTCAATCCGTCTTGCATTTTTGTGTCTGAAGGGCATTGTCTGCAAGATCAAAACATACAGACAGAAGGGTTTTGTTAAGGAAGACAAAGTATGATATTGTTGGATTCAGCATGAAAACCCTCCCTCATGCTTTCTCAAATACACCATTGCCAGCTGAATTTGGTAGCTACACAGAATTACAGACATGTTCTTTCATTAAAGCTTGCATAATAGCTTGAATTCAGACTAACAAAAAATCTCCTAAATTCTCATTCATCTTTATCTAAATCCACTAAACTTTCATCAGCAAGGATGGAGGAGGGGCAAAATTTAGCTCCATAGCTTTAAAATGTGATCTTAAAAGGAAATAATTAGTGTACATACTTTCCTTTTCATTTCTATGATATGGTAACAGCTTAAAGATTATGCTATTTCTAGTCCAACTCCTGCTCAATCCAGTTTGGAAAGTATACATTTGCAATGTAATTTTATTTGTAAAATTGATGGGTAAGAAAAAAAATAGCAAAGACATTTCCATTTTTGTTCAGATTTTTAAAGCTTTAAAGTATTTACCTTAGAGCACAGCAAAACCCCATGAGAATATGGGTTTTTTTATGTCTTCAGACCTTAAATTAAGGTATTGGAAAACTTCCATAGAATAGGTTTGTAATAATTACTCTATATGGAGGCAGAGAAAAACCTACTGATAGCTGTAGTATTTTTAAGCTAAAACTGGAAAGAAAATTAGGAAAAATAAACCCAAATTTATTTCTATAAGATGCAAGTTCATATCTATCTTTGCAAACTAGCTTGATACCAGAGAAAAAATTACCTAGTTCCTCAATACTCCAGACACTCCTGTTTCTTTGAGTCAAGCTACAGATTTTTAGCTACTTTTATCACTGCCAGCTATTGTTATTACCAGAAAGATTCAAAAACCATATTCTAGCCAGCATACTCTGATATGAAAATGTCTGCATTACCATTAGACTCAAGTTTCAATGACTGCTAGTTGACACAGGATGCAGCAGGGCAATGCTGGCACTCATCCTGCTTACAGTAGTGGTGCCATCTCCTGTGTTCTGATATGAAGAATGGGAAGCTATAAAATTAAACAGAATCTTCTGTGCTCCTTTGTCTTCTCAACAGATCTGATTCTGACCTCATTGTGTGACACAAACTCAAGAGGAATCAAACACAGAACACCTTTTAGTTGTCCTCAGGAAAAAATCCTCTAAGATCAGTAGACAAGTCAAGTCAGATTTCTTAACACAGAACAAGAGGGAGTTAAGGGAGAGTCCTGACTATGTCATCTGTATTGGATTTATTTAAAAACACACATATAGTTTCGAAGAATTATCTGATTTGACAGTGTATGTTTTGGTAAATATGATCAATGTTTGGCTGTACTTTAAAAATACAAACGAGACAGGTTATACTTACACTAAGACACATACATGTCTTTTTTACATGGTAGGCTCCTTCTTGTAGAGGAGGGAATAAGACTCACCTCAAATCTTGCTAATTAACAATGACAATTCTGTATGCTGCATAAGTAAATTTGTTCCATGCCCTGCCTCTCTTTAAATTGTTTCAATTTGCTTAAAGGCTTATCAACTGCAGGACTTTTATAATTGACTATAATGTAAATCTTAACTGCATTGAGTAACCTTCCCTAGCTAAAAATGTATTGACCATAAAATAAGCCTTCACCTTACTGTTCCCTACTATACAAGTTAAAATATATTTAACAATTCAAGTCTTTCTATTTCTTTCTTTCTTATATCCTGGAACTAGTTTTAAAAGAGAATAGCAGGACTTGCATTAGTTTTCAGGTTTTCGCAGATTCAGATTACAGTGGTGTTCAGGTCAACCTCACTAGTTTGGGCAAGCCAGCTAATAAAGTGAGATTTTAAGAAGAAACCTTCATTGGCATTCTTTTTCCAGAAGGCCATGACAAATCTTAAGAATCTTTTTTTTCAGCCATCACCTGATAATCTCCAATCCACTTCTAGGTGCAGGGGTAGGGTTTCCAGGAGTCAAAATGGGTGTTAAGCAGGAGACCCATGTCTTCATCAAGCTCTAACTGACCTCCTACTTTCCCTAACACCCTCTAACAAGGGAAGCACCTGATAGAAAGCCAGGTGCTGCTTGTATTTATCTTTTTCTTAATTCAGAGAAACTTGTCATGAAATTGAATGTCAGTAAGTTTAATGATGTTGGAAGCAGACAGTCTGACATGGTACATAAATAATTGTAGAATATGCTCTAAAGAGCTACAACTCAAGCCAACATCTTAAGAAAATTAAAAATTAAAAAAAAAAAAAAAAACAACCAGTATTAAATTTGAGGGCATTTAATGAATATCCAGCTCAATTAAACAGAATATAAATACATATAGCATGTGAAAAACTGACTCAGGCAAAAGTTGACCTACAAAGTGGCTTGCACTTCTCATATGGGCAAAATATATTGCAACTTCTCAGTATAATGACTCAAGCATCTGTTTTGAAGGATCTGTCATGTGCCTTAGTTGACCCAATGTGTCGACTAGATGAACTGAGAACACCATTTAGATTCCAGTGTTCTCTATGGAATGCAGAGTGTCACCTCCAGCTGCCTGCCATGTTGCAAAGCTGTTTGCTCTGAACATAACTGGAAGACTTAAAATGAAGTTACACAATCTCATAAGCAGTTAAGCTGAGAAACTGAAAAGGTTCTATATAAAATTAAGTTTAAGGTACTTATAGACCCCTAGTTGTTGCAGCATCAAGAAGCAACATTATTGTCATATCATTAAAGGAAAAGTGAGATAAAAATAAATAAATTGACCTACAAAAAGCCTGTGATAAAGCTGAGATTGAACCTGTCTCTTGTATCTCAGGCTTCTCTCTAAAAGCTAAGGAATCTTTCTGGTGTGATATGTGCTAGATGTGACTTTAAAGTACACAAAGCAATAATCACCAAATTCTGTTACGCTAGTCTGTTAATATTTGACTGATTCAAATACCTTATTTTGTTCTTGGTAGTAAATGTTTTTTATCTATAACAAGAAATAAACCATAGCTAAAGCATATATATTTGCAACATTGCAAAATTAATGCATCTCTAAAACACTGCATGAAATATGAACTCATTTTCTCTATGCAGCTGAAGGAGTACTTACTGCAGAGGTGGAATGCTTGATGGATCTGGAAAGCAAATCTGCTCTTAGCTTAATGCCACAGCAACAGACGTTTCGTGAAGCAAGAAACATGCCTGCATAATAAATAAGTGACCTGAAAAACCTTACAGATTCTAGGAAAGAGTTCCTACACAACACTAGACAATTTTAAGATAAGATCCTCTCCTCTTCCCTCCAGTGATTTTGTTTCAATTAAGTGCTACTAAATAATTACCTTGTCACAGCTGTAAGCATAGAGGATGAAACTCTGTAATTGACAGGGCTGAAAAATGTTTCTGAATGTCATCTCAAAGGAAGGTTTCCTTTATTTGACAACCTTGATCTTCTTTTTGAATAATAGGTAAGACTAAATGCAATTCAAGCTTCAAAGTCTCTGTTAGAATTCGTGTGAAAATGTGTTTGTGTAATAAAAATTGTATTAAGATTGCTAATATACAATAGAAAAAGAGCCCAATTTTTTAAAAGTTACACATCTTTAAAACTTGTCTCCATTTCCAAGTGTTTCAAATCAGGTATGCTGAAATCAGGATAATTAAGATGACCAGTCACACTGGAGAGGGAGGCCTAGGAACTGTATGTAACTACAATAAGTTTTGTCACAGTGACTTGGCAAACATTAAATATCTCCCAGAGCTGAAAACAACTAGAAAAGACACTTTGTGTAGAGTAAAATCATTCACAGAGTGGAGAAAAAGTGTCCTGTTAATTAATAACTATCAAAAAAGAAGTAAGAACTGGTACTTCATGCAACTATTTGCAGAAGATACTTTAAAACATGTATGTTAGATTGCATTGCCACAATGACTGAAATGTGTTAGACACATGAAACCCACAAATCTAATGTCAGAAACACAGTAGCCACAGCAGTATAATTATTAACTTTGCTTTCCATCATTTATGCATTAAAGGGTATGGAACTTCTGTTCCTCCCCTGACTTTGCTACCTGAGAAGGGGAAGAGAACAAAAAAAGAAAAAACGATGCCATTTGTATCAAGAGGAATGCCATTGCCTCTTGAAACAATATCATGTGAGCCTCATGAACAGAAAGGAAATGGTAAATCAACAACACAGTAAAAGATGATGTTTTCATTAAGAAGAATGCTTTCAGTCCAACAAGAAAGTGTCCTTTATACTTATTAATTAATGGAAAAGGCCAAAGATGACTCAATGCATAAGTTTTAAAAGTATGCTGATTTTGCCTTTCTCTTACTCCTGTGCTACAAGCTCAGTCTCACTTCTGAAATTAGGCTCTTTCTCACACACTACTGAGTTGTGGCTAACTCAATTACACCTTCAAAACAGCCCCATAATCCCATTGCATGTAGCAATCTGCAAGTAAACAATTTATGTTCATTTACAAGAAGAAACTCCACTAGTCTGAGAACTAACAAAAGTAAATAGCAAGAAAATTGTTGACATTAGTCAGCAGATACTCTTAAAGACATAGAAGAAATACATGTGCTTTAAAAAAACCAGAAAATCCATTTTAAGTGATTTCTAATAATACCACTTAGCATATTCAGGGTTATCTTTGAGAATAACTATGCAAAATAAAAAATATTATTCAGGTCTTTCTTGCTCTCCTTGTCTAAGGTTACAAAAACTACTTGTGTAACCTACTGATGCTATCTTAAAACATAACCATGACATTGGTGCTATTCCCCAGGGTCAGACCAAAGACAGACAACTCTTGCAGCCCACTGTGAACACTTGCAGTAGTTAATGCAGAAAGACAAACGTGCATGCCTTTGCCTGATTCATTTTGTATTGAGAAATAGAAAAATTAAACAAAAAACATGCAAGCCTTACATGCAGAACTAACTTGCAAATAAGAAAAATTACTGACAGCTGTAAATATTTCCAGCATTAGTGCCATGGTGCACCAAAAACCAGAGCCAGTATTTGACACGAGGCAATCACACAAACCCACCACACTGCATGAGCAGCAGCAGACCTGTGTAACTGTGGTGTGGTCAATCTCTGCAAGTGCCTAAAATACCTGAAGAAAAAATTATATCCACCTTTAATACCACAGAAATGTACAAACTGTGAAAACTTTATGAGGAACATAATGGAAAGGACTTGGCTGAACAGCCTCAGTAAGAACAGGCACTGGCATGTAACACTTCTCCCACTGTTTCTATCTTTGTGACACTTTAACACTGAAAACTGAACAGCATTTGTTCAGACTCAAGAGACAAGATTACTGGGCATTAAATGAAAATGCCTCCTATAAAGTACTTTTATGACTTCTTTTATTTCTGAGTACCTCCACTTAAGACTTCAAGGATTTAAAGGGAAAGGCCTCCTTAATATAACCAGATACTCTCCCACACACTGATCTGAAAAAAAAAAAAAAAAAAAAAAAAAAAAAAAAAAAAAAAGCAGGGCCTACTCCTACTCTTTTTTTCCAAACACACACATCCCCCCCAGTATAATTTTATATGACATGTTAAGACATACCACAGGCTCAAGAGAATAATTTCCTGTTACTTTTACGATGAATGCACTCTCAATTATTACCCCATATATGTAAGTATGTGTAAGGCACATCAATGAGATGGTTTTTATTGTCCTAAGCTGAGTTTTTATCATTGGGATACAAAGTTTCTTCCAGAGGAGGGAAGTTACACTCCAGGCAGCTAGAGAAGTACTGCAAACCCCATTTCAACCCTCTTCAAAAGTTGTAAGGTTCTTCAAACACAGAAAATGCACTGATCTTTGTGGGGGAATTAAGAGGCAGTATTAATTTCTTTCTTAGTCTTATTAATGTTTCTTTTTCCAGTCTGGGAGTCAGACATCAGTATTTTGGCCAAGAGTCATGTCTGCTAAACCCAGAAATTAAATTAGGAATTCTTTTAATCCAATTTTAATTTTCAGTGCTCCGAAGCATTCATGTAGTCAGTCCTCCTGGAATTCAGGCTTGCATATCCATAGAGAAAACAGGAAAATTAACATGTTAGAGGAAAAGGGATAACAAATTGCTACTCCTACAGCTTTCTATATTTTTAGGGGAGTGAGAAGCAAGCAAAGCTACCAGAAAGGTCAGTGCCATAAATGTTTTTTAGTGGGACTGGTAGCAACATTCTGGTTGCTAATTGGGTTGAAACTCAGGTTTGGTACTTAAACTAGACTGGAAGATATAATTGGACTTGGTCATGGGAAATAGATGAATACATCTGTGTACTAACAATCATTTAGTTCATGCTGTGCTTTGTAACTGTTCCAGCATAGATACAATTTCTGAGTGGTAAGCTCTTCTGCTCCCTTCACAGCTGCCCAGCCTCCTGGTCATACAGCACCCTGACACTGGGATGCTGAACCTCTGGGGCATTTTTAAAAAGTTACAATTTTGTAATTGATTCATTTTTCTCCTTTGAAACAAAAGGCCAAATGCTGGTGTTCCTTCATTTTTGAGCTTCAGTTATTCCATCTCTAAAAAAATCCATGTCACAGAGCTTGAACGACACTTGGTCAGACCCCTTAAGCTGCTGCATTTTTTCAGGTAACAAATAGTTTCATTTTACTGTGGAGCCTCAGTGACAAACATTACTATAAACACTGAAAGCCTGTCTGCCACCACAGAAATGTCATAATGTAAATATAATCCCTGTTATATTTGTTCTGGGTTTAATATTTTTTGGATACGCAGATCTGGAAAATGTTATACCTCAGCTAAATGCTGTCAAGACTTTGCAGGACTGTTTCTTCTTATTGTCTAGAGGATGAAAGCCTCGGAGAAAGAAAAGGTGCCATTTTACCAGTGGAGGGCTCTCCAGGACTCTTTTTCCTACCACCTGTATGCAATAGATGGCTTATTGAGCCAAAGGAACTGTTGCCAAATCACTGTAGTCAGGGAAGTTGGGCAAAGACACTAAACTTAAAACCTTCTCTAGGAGAAAGATTTATCACAGCAGTCAAATTTTGTCATTTCTTCTTCCATAATCTACAAGGAATTGAGCAAATTGTGCGCGGGGAAACAAATTTTACAATACGGATTAAGCAGCGGGATGAGATTGTGGGGTTTTTTCTTTTCTTTTTTTTTTTTTTTTTTCCCCGCTCGTAGAGCAGCTGTACTATGCAGCCACTCCACGCTGCGCTTACGCTCCCACTCACGTGTTCGCAGCCGGCAGCACGGGGCTGGGGAGGCCGGAGCCTGCCGGCACCGCCGCCGCCCGCCCTCACTCGCAGGCCCTCGGTCAGAGCCGGGGTTCCCTGGGCCCGGCCCGGCCGCTCTGCGGGAAACAAGCGCGGTCACCCCGAGCTCGGGCTGGAGCCGCCTCCCCCGCAGGCGCTCGGCTCAGAGAGGCCCCGAGGGCAGCGGCACCGCCACACTCGCCACACTCACCACCCCGACACCGCCTCCGCCGCCCGCCGCGATCGCTTCCGATGGGGCGGGGCTGGGGCCGTCCGTCCCGCCGCCCAGAGGGGCGGAGAGCGCCCATCCCTCCCGTTCCTCCAGTCCGAGGGCCGGAGCGCGCCCGTCCCGCCCGTACCACTGCCCAGAGGGGCGGAGAGCGCCCGTCTCTCCCGTTCTTCCAGTCCGGGACCGGAGAGCGCCCGTCCCGCCCGTCCCGCCCGCGCGTGTGGGGAGCTGCTGAGGGAGGGAGGACTGCGCGCAGTGCGGAGAAGCGACGGGGCAGAACCATGGCTTAGAAATGTCTCCCCGGTACATGACTCCCCGTGTGCAGTCATGGAGCTGCACACACCCATGTCCGTAGCGTCTCCCAAACATCATAAAACTTGGCGCTTTCTTTGGAAAACTGGGCTAACTGGTTACCTGTCTTGGGCTTTGGCCTTTCTGGAGGGAATAAAGTGTCAAAATCGTAAGAAATTATCTCATGCCTAAGTTAACCACTTATAAGGAAAATAATGAGATTTTCCAGATTTCTTAAGGTATTCAATAAACTCACAGAATCTGCATTTTTACGGTTTCCCTTCACAATCAGGACAGAGACTTACCCAATTTGTAAATGAAAAAGTTCCCTTTAATCAACCTCTCATTGTCACCAAATTTGATTACTAAGTTAGAAATATATATATTGGCAATGTCTTTACAGCCTACTTTTCCTGCTCTTATAAATGTTTATAAAGCTGGTTATAAAACCCTTAATATCAACACCATTGTACTGATCATTTACATCATTGCATATCATTGTTTAAGAGAAAGGCCATATAACTTCAAGCAATTTTTTATGTTAAGTCCCATTGTGATTCAGCAGAGCTGAAAGAACCCACGAATCAGATTTTACAAGGGCCTGGCATGACATAGTGTCAAATACATTTCATGTTCAAAAATGTTCAATAATATAGATAAATATTTTTGAAAGAACTGGACAAGCCTGTGATAAAATACTTTTTATAGCAAGTCTTTATTGTTTCCTTTTAATGTGGATACTAGAAAGTTCTCTGATGTGTCAGTAAGTATCACAAAGATAACAAATACAGGCAGAATGCTGATACAAAATGGGATATATACACTGTTTGCATATCATTACCATATGTATTGTGTTATGTATATAATCATTGTGTATATTCATAGAAAATGAAAGAGTAAGAGCTGATTGAAGAGAACCAATTTCATAGAACAAACTAGAACACTCTACTTGGGTGTAGAAATACTCTGACAAGGCCAGAACAATACAACAAAATTAAGAACAATACAGCAATTATTTTAGGTCCTAAATAAGACACATAAAAAAATTAACAATTTGTTTGTTTGTTTGTTTGTTTGTTTGTAATGCTTCTTGAGAATTCTCTTGGTCTCCAAAGAGGACATCTGCAAGCATGCACTGGAGGGCAGCAGATCCCAACCTCTGCTATGTCATGAGGCACTTCAAAAAGGGAAAAAAGAAACTTTAGCCTACCATTGGCCTTTTAGTTCCACTGATGCACGCATTTTTCAGAGATTTGTGTACAAAGCAGATGTCAAGGGGTAATCCATGAATCCCAGGCTTCTGCATCATCCTGTGTGCTCTAGGCCGTGACCCAGCCAGCTGAAGGGATGTTGGTAAGTCTCCTGATTCATCCTCAGATGATGAAGCAAGCACTGTTTGAGTTCTCACCCCCAGTGCTGCTCAGTGTTTACCAGATCAGCAGAGATTCTGCTGGAGTACAGGAGATTTTGAGTCTTGTCTGCTCCAGCTGGCACTGACATTTCCTCTCTTGCCAAGACTGTGACTCTTGTAGGTGTAACAAATCATTTGAGCATGTGAGTTAATGGCATCCACTGCAGTTTAACTAACGTGGCAAAGACAGCAGTGTCTATTCATTTAGTTACAATTCTGTAGCCAGTGGTTCAACAGTTTTGGTTTAAATTTCAATGGAAGTAATATGGAAACCATATAAGAGGTCCAACTTCTGCAACAATCAAAGTCTGCTGTAGTTGTGGACAACTATGAAAACTGTTGTTGCTACCCATGTGCAGTAGCAATTTTTCAAATTCTTCCCCCAAAAGGAAAATTTTTTAAATGTAAGGATATTTTGTGCTTTAAGCAAGAATCCTCACCTTGCATATCAGTCAGATGGTCTTGAAGGAGGCCTCATCAGTGTTAGAGAAACTGAGTAAGCAGTCCAGCCTTCCTATACTTTCAGCAGTGCGAGGGTCCAAAATTTGTTCTTCAAAGATCACTAACTTAAGAGAATTTTACCAGTTCAGGCACAGCAGGGTAAACAGGAGTACTGAGCCTAATGATTAAATACATTGTCTGATGAATACAGCATTCAACAGTTTTCATAAAATTAAATCAGTCCTGAAACCCAGGGCTTAGCTAAAGTAATAAATTTAGGTGTGGTGAGGCATTTGCTCTTTAAGATTTATCTTTCATACATAAAAATAATATCTATTTCTATATTTTAAAAGTAACTTTGCCATCACCCAAATTTAACTTTCCTGACCCTTTCTAAGGACCCCAAATATCTTGTACTGAGGTTCAGTTTGGAAGCATCTCTCTCATTTTGTAACTGCTTAATAATGCCTCCTCAATTTTTGATAGAAGTCCGCCATGGCAGCTTAAGATATTCTCATTGGAACTAAGAATTAGTGCATTTTTAGTCTAATTTCTTTTTATATAATCAAGCTCCATCTTTTTTTTCTTTTTAGGAGAAAAGGAGGTCAGGAGTTTCTACACTTCAAAACTGATTAGTGAAGCAGTTGAATTGAAGAGGACAAAATTACTTGGCAGAATTTGGGTGCCCAAGCACACTATTAACAGTCCATAAAAAAATCAGCTGACTTCAACTGTGTTTTGTCAGTTTTCTGCCCTAGCTGCAGTAGATAGGACTCTAATAAATCTGTATCTTGATCAAATCAAAGTAGAGATGAAAAACATAAATTTTAAATCAGCTTTCCCTTGGCATACAGCCAACACTTTCCAAAGTGGTATTTTACAAGTCATAAAAATATAACCTTACATGTGGCTGTTCCAAAAGGCAGGTATATGTGGTAATTTCCTTTTTATATGAATTTAAGGCCCTAAAGATTTTTTTCATCAACAAGAAAAAAGCATTTAATTACTGATGGTACATACAAGGCTTTGTCACACACTTGTTTACTAACAAGAAATGGACAAAAGCCTATTTTTCTCATTGCAAAATCCACTGAACAGCAGATGAGAGAATCTCTTTGCTCACAATTCCTCTTCTCAGTGTCATCCTCTATGGCTTTGCTCCCTCAGAATTGCACAGCTATGCTTTTCAAGGCCTGCTTTTCAAGCCAAAGCACAGAAGGGCAGGCTGGTGTCTGAGCAGCTCAGTGTCCTGTACCCATGCCTGTGCAGAGGGTGAGGCAGGACACCCGCACTCCTCTCAGCCGTGGATAATTTGGAGTCTCTTAGGTGGGAGGGACCATCCTCACCCCCAGCCCATGGCCCTGCTGCCACTTCACAGTCTGCCATGCTGTGGCTGCAAGCCCTGCTCCAGAAAGAGTGTGAATCTTTTGCAAATCCTTATTTGAGGAGATGAGGAATTAGTGTGCCATCTTGGAAAGAATGCAGGATAATACAGAGGAAGAAGTACAGCCCAAATATCTCTCAAGCCCAGCTTTATTTCTAAAGGCTGAGTCCTGACAGCATCTGGATTGGAAAAGAGGATGTGACTCTGCTCCCACACTGTGTGACTAACACTGCATTGCATAAGGGAAGTCTAGGAAGCTGGAAATACTTCAGTGAGAATTTCCCATATTACTCAGAGTATGGAATAATAAACAAATGCATAGGTTTTTTCAGTCATTTGGGGTGAGCTGTATGACACATATCTGACTACATTGTTTTGTGATTAAACATTCCAAATATATGCCAAGGAACTCCCCATAACAGGTTGTGCTGTAAGCATTTATTTTGATTCTCATTTTAAAATAATGAGTTTTTCTTTTCTTTCCTGGTAGGCTGCACTGTTACAATTTGCTTATCAGATAGTAGTTACTGTATAAGCTTGGCATTGTTTTAAAAAGGGCATAATGGCCAATTAATGTGATCCTGGAATTCAGATTATACTTGCTTTATTGCCTCCAAAGATCTAATCTTAGAAGGTGCTGAGAGGACTCCAATTTTAAATGACCTCATACATTTTTAATGAAAGTATGAGAAAGAAAATTGAATGCAACTGCAGAGAGAAGCAGGTGTTGGAAAGCTCTAGCATTTCTTAGCAGTACCTACAAACAATTAATTTATTATTTGGATATTTTTCATACCACCAATGCTGATCTTATATTGTATCTATGTACTTTTGACTTCATTATAAAATTAAATATTTTTTTATTGTGAGGGTTTGTGGACAAAATTACCTCTCCCCCCCTGTAGAATAATACAATTAATAAAAATGAAAGAGGGTATGACAATGAAAGTATTTTCTGACAAATTCCAGAGGTATCTTCCTTGTATTTGAATTGAGGTAAAGATACTTCGGTGTAACAGACCTTCCTGTCTTATTTTTCCTATGCTCTCTAGAAAACTTAAAGCAAGTTTCTGTTGAGATGTAGCAGAGACATTTTTTTCTTATGGGTTCCTCAAGTTAGCAGAAAGTGATTCTGTGACATTTTTTCTGGCATGGGCTTCAAATAGTAGAGAACTGATGTGTGCACTCTCTGGAGGGATATTGGGGATAATTTTTCCAGATAAATCACTGAACAATCTCAAAATACACATTCAGAAAGAAGACTGAAGGGAATGAGGAGATGATCCAGATGAAATGTGTGCTGAAAGACAAATAATTTGCCTTTGGTCTTTTGATCTGACAGCTTCCCTGAGGATCCAAGACTGCAAGGTGAGGAGCAGATTCTGGGTTTTCGTAAGGCCAAGTTAAATGGGAAAGAGCCTATACTGGTAGGTCCCAAACTGAGTGTTTCAAAATGATGCAAAGTGAAACCTTGTAACTAAAAGTGTTTAACTGATCCACTTAGTTTGGATAACCCCGAAGTGGGGAGCAACACCACACCTAAACCAGGCTGCAGACTGAGGCAGCAGCAACTGATGAAAAATTATCTGGGGACTATAATCAGCAACAAGAGAAAACTTGAAGGGAGTGACCCTCTTGGGCTGTCCCAGTTGAAATCAGGACTGCATGTCTGAGGCCTAACAAGTGCAGGAACAGTGATGACATTAAATAACAATCTGCCTTTTCAGAGTAAATTTCACTGTCGGGGAATTTTGTTTTAGAATTACATCTGTATTTTCTACTCCTCTTCTTCTATCTTCAGCTTATTCATCTTCTTCCTATGTTTTGAAGTCCACTAAAAGCCTTCATTCAGCAGTGTATGTGAACAGAATCTTTGTTCAGTAAAATGCTTAATTATGTTTTTCAGTGGTGTTCTTACAAATGAGTTAGGAGCATGTGTAGTACTGCACTGGGACCAGTTCCTGTCCGTGTGAAGGGCAAGAATTAAGCACAGTCTTACTCATGTATCTCTGCAGTTCTTTCTCCCCTTCCTTCTAACACTCATCCTCAGCTGAGGACAATATTCCAACCACTGAATGACTTAAAGGCAAGACCCCTGTATCTGAATACAGTATCTTCCATCAACCCCCCTGTAAAATGTCGTACTCTGGGTGTTGCAAGCAGTTTGGAACAGATGGCCAGGTAGGAAGTGTGGCACTCAAATAAAATTCACTGTAGCACCATCTTAGTTTTCAGAGAGTCACAAGAGGCGCAGGCAATTCTTGACTGTCTTTTTAAAATTTTTTTCTCTGCATGGCCCTATAAAGAAATAAATACCTGATGATTTGGGTAAAAGGTATTTTAAAATATTGTTCTAATTTCATCTGGCATAAAGCTGTCAGGGTTTTGGAGGGAATATGAAATGGCAGACCCTGAGACTCCCAGTTTTCACATTATCTATGGCTTTGAGATACTCTTGTCTTGAGAAGAAAGTACATTGATATTTCTGTCCAGTTGATACTCGATGAAATTTTTATGACTATCCTATTCATCTGATGAATTATTTTGAGCTTTGCTGGTTTGGCACGACCCGCGCAGTCCGGGAGGAGCAGGGGTCTCGTCGGAGCGAGAGGCAGAGGAAGGCGCGCAGGACCCTGCGGGCAGGCAGAGTGTGACTGCCCACGGGTCCGGCAGAGGGAAGTGTTGTTCTGAAATACCTCCCTGCAGGAGAGCCTTTGTTGGTCGCTGCGAGCCACGTTACTGCACCAGCAATCAATGATCTGGAGCGCATGGAACATGGGATTTATAAATTGTCAGTAGAAGACAAAGAAACTTTAGCAAATGCCAGAAGGAGCAAGGAGCAATGATCAGGATGTTCCAGGAAATTAAATGAAATCATATTAATAACTTGTTATTAATATAATTTAAGAGAAAAAAATGTGGTTTTTTTATTCTCTTAAGGAGAATAAATGATAGTATGGAATTTTAGGAGTTAAAGAGTTGTGGTTCAATAATTCATGCTTCAGCTAAACATGCAGCTGTAGCCTTTCATATGGAAAGACAAGATCCTGAGAATCAGATAGGCAGAAACTCACTTGGTGATCACAAGGCAAGTTGTCATAGGGTGCTTTATTTACAGAGCAGGCTCAGCTTCAGATACTGCTGCCAGCATGATCACTGATGAAGATGCTGCTGCTCCTGCAACCCCAAGCACTGCTGGAGGGTTAAAAGACAAGAGAAATATCATCTCTGTAATATTAAAAAGAATTTTCAATAGAAAATACTTTAAAGTGAAATTTTTACTGTATTAACCTTTAAAATATTCAGCACTTTCCTATATAGCTTTCCCTTTCTTACTACATGGAATTTCCCAAAATTGTACAAGAGAAGGGGTTGAAGCAGATGCTCTGGATACCCAATAGTCACACTGAGCATAATATTTGAAACAATTTTTTTTCATATATATATTTAAAATTGTGTTTGTGACATCTAAATAGCAAGTTAAAAAAGATCAGGGGTTGGCAGGATGTGTGAAAGGAAGCTCAACTTTCACAGTATTGTCAAGCTGTTGTTTTTCAGTATCTTTTAGATGGCTGTCACAAACAAATAGAATGAGTGTTGGAGCTTGAAGAACATTTTCCAGATAATGTTGCTTGAAAAACCCTGGAAGAAATTCATCCTGAAATAATTGTCACTAAGCTAACTTTAAAGGTGAGCTTGATTGGCTGGGTATACAGTGAGTAGTTGCATGGAAAAACAGGGCTGTTTTTGAGTAAGATGTTAACAAAAGATTTCCTTTGCTCAGAGATTGGTGTGGTGTGACTGATGGGCTGAGTCCTCCCCTTGTGCTTTCCTATGAACTACTCAGTATCAGAGTAAAGAACTAAACCTAGATAATTGTGCTGCAATCTTCTGCTCAAGCAATGATGAACCTTATGAACATTAACTTCCTTGTTCTGACTTAATTCAATACTTTGATTCTTAGTGCAAATAGTTATTTGTTTTATAATTTAGGCAAATGTGAATTTGTCTTCCCAATATATTGCTGACAAAAAGAAAATATGGCAGATCCCAGAGAAAGACTTTTAATTTTTGTCTTAGTAGGAAACAAGATTATAAAACAAGATGTACTTTTATTTACTTTGCTCAGGGATGGGGGAAATAGTCCCTGTAAAATGGATTAAATAATTCCTCAGGGAAACCCTAATAGAGCAGAAAATTTGTCTCGCTGATACAGCCAACTAAGGAGGCGGCAGATCATGAGACAAAAGGGAATTGGTCTCCTGGGAAGAGACTGGCCTGCTCTCTGCTGTTTACCAAACCTCACCAAGGACTCTTGGAGCGGTAATTGCAGACAATGCCACGATGTTGACATCTTTGCGGTGACAGTAGCTGTTTCTCTGAGCTTAGATTACTATCAGCATACATAGCCTAAGTAGAAACTGTCAGCCTAAAACAAATACATTCCCTGCTAGGCTACCACCGGGACTGCAAACTAGAAAAACAAATAGTCTTTTTTTTTCAACACACCTCTTCACTGGTATTTCTACAAGTTTGGATTAAAAAGCGAGGCTCCCTTTTGTTTTAATCAGTTTCACTTTTGGCTCCAGTGCAATGCTTGTGCTTCCTCAAAAGCATGATGTCTCTTTTAAATTGAAACTAACACTACTAGCTAAATGTGTACTGAATACATATTTGAAAACTGTGAATACAATTTGAAAATTGTTGGCTTTTGTAAAATTTAGTGTCTTTGCTATTTAAAATGAAGGCGGTTTTGTACAGCTGCAGGGAAAAGGATTTTTGTGTTTCACGGAGGAAAAGCAATATTTTGAAAATAGTCCCTTTACCCACGAAATTGATGACTGGACAGAGAATAAACATTACCATAACAGAGCCAGTGTAAGGAGTGTGATTATACTGTAAACAGAGTTTAGACAAGGTCCTTGCAAAGGTGTTACTAATAATGAAAATATGTCAGGACAATTACTTGAATAGAGTGAGCTGTTTGCACGATTAGGAGGAGGGAAACAGAGCCCGTTTGTCCCAGTTTTTGTAGAAACCTAGGTAGGAATAAAAATTTTCCTTCAGGCTTTCCTGCCTTTGCCCAGCAGAACTGCCCTCTTCAGACATCTGGAGAAGGGAGCTTCACTGCCTACTGGAGGAGGTGCAGAGGAAAGTCAAATCAATTTTGACTTTTAAAAAACGTTGTGTTTATTTGTGAACTTTATAATTTCGATATCAGGTTTTTAGTGCAACTAAGTGCCACAAAAGAGTCCAGTCGCACAGACTTTTGACTGTTCCTGTCAGAAAGGGTGGCCGGCGTTGGGTGTCCCTGGCCCCGGAAGGAGACCCCCGGTGCAGCAGGACATTCGCAGCGGCGGGGCCGGGAGCTCATCCCGAACGGACCCGCGCGGCACCCCTCCCCAGCATCACCGGTACCGCTCCCCGGCATCCCCGGCCCCGCTCCTTCCGCCCGTCCCCCAGCGGGGGCCGGGGCCGCTCCGAGATCCGCACCCCGGCCCAGCCGAAGCCTCCGGTGGGATTAAATTGCATTTCGCGAGTGTCACCGTGTCTATTTTTATTTGCTAACGGCCGGCTTTCTCACTTCCTCCACCTCTTCCAACGGCTCGGGTTATTTAAACGCCGGCACGCAGAGGGGGGCTTGCTGCCTGCGGGCCGGCACGGCCGCAGTGCCGCACCGAGAGGCTCCAAGGAGGCCGGGAGCTCTTCGCTCCGCAGGCAGGGGCGGTCAGGCGGCTCCGCAGGTGAGCGGCGGGGCCGGGCCGGGGCCGAGCGCAGTGCTTTTGTCCGCCGCAGCTCCCCCGCCCCGGCCCGTCAGCGGCGCCGCCGGCCGCGCCCTATTGGCTGCGCGGGCGGTAACGTGACAGCGGCGGGGCCCGCCCCAGACGCGCCGGTTGGAGCCGGTGCCTCGCGCTGCGCCGCCGGCTGCCGCGCGGACGGAGCGCGCGGACCCAGCGCCGCTGCGCGGGCGGGCCGGGGGCGGCAGGGGCAGGTAAGGGAGGGGCGGCTGCCGCTGACAGGTGCGCCGCGGGCCCGGCCTGTGAGGGAGGCACGGGCGGAAGGAGGGGAGCGGCGCGGAGCGGGGCTTTCAGAGGGCAGCTCTCGCAGTCCCCGCTTTTCCTGGGGTTGCCCCTCCGCCAGCTGACCGGGAGGGCGCTGCCATCCCGCGGGGTGCCCGGCGCCGCTCGTCGGATGGCCCGGTGAGCCTGCGCGGCGGCCGCCCCGTCCCTCGGCGGCGCCCGGCAGCGGGGCCGCTCACCTGCCGTGGCCCCGCGGGCCCGCCGAGACAGAGAGGGACCGGGCTCGGGGCGCCGAGCGGGTCTGTGGCAGCCCCAGGGCCCGCGGGCGGAGCTGGGCGAAAACCGCTCTGTGGTTTGCGTAACCGATATCTGCGTGTCCTCGAGTGACCCGGGCGCTACAGGTCGCCTGGGGCCGCTCTCCTCCGCCCCGGGCTCCCCCGGCCGGGCGGCAGCTGCCACCCTTCGGCCCCGGGAGTGCGGGCGGCACCTGCCCTCGGGCAAGGGCCAGGCGGGAGCCAAGTCCCAGCCTCCCCGCAAGCGAGAAAAGAGTTAAGTCAGTGCTGAGGCCTGACAGTTCTGCGTGTCGAACAAGAACCGTCCTTTTTGTCGTTGCCTTCCTTTCTCCTGCCTGGCCAATGCGTTTCTCGTCCCATCTAGTCAGGGATCTTGCAGCAGCCCCTTGCGTGGCAGCCTCGCTTTGCGCCCTGGCTGAGTTGTGCAAGTGGCGCCAGGCTGACTTGGTGCCCGTCTTCTCAGGGAAACTGGGGCAGCTTCCTGGCTTTGGGTCAGAATCTGGCCGTAGTGAATGCTGCCGTTGACCAGTTATATAGCAGTGATTAAAGCAGACTTCTCTAAAGCTTAATTTTATATTAAGTATGTAAATAATTATGCTGATAAGGTAAGCTGTGTTTGAATTGGCCCCTAGTGTGGTCATTTAAAACTATGCCTGTGAGGTAGTCATTGAACAGCTAGGTTTATTATGGTTTCAAGTATTCATGCTGTATCTTCTGCTGACTCTCAGCTTTCTTTGTTTGCTGAAAGGGTAAGGTAAGACATCAATTTCAGGTGTCTTGGAATTTTTTCTTAAGTACTTTCATAGCAGGGAGGGCAGCAGATTAGGCCTTACTGATCTGTCTTGTTTAACTTCAAGAGAGTGATGAAGGAAAGCCCATGAGGTTGTCAGTGATATCTTACAGTACTTGTAGAATTTATTAAATATCGTCCATCTGTATTGTACATGTTTTCTTCAGAATCCATGTAGCTCAGATGACAGCGTGAGGAATAGAAGAGGTAACTTTCCTTCAATATCTGTGGCCCTGAGCAGTGCAAAGGGCATGAAATGAAAAGAGAGTGGAAATGAGAATGATTATGGCAGAGAACCAGTAGTTAATATATGATACAGGGGGATTTTTAAGAGTTTTCTTGAGTGTTTGAAGCATTCTGTTGTAGCCAGATAACAAATGTTTATTGGAGAGTTTTACACTAATATATATTTTTGCATTCACACAATGCAATTGACTTATAACTTCAGTAGGATTCATGTAACTTTTAGAAATTGTGCAGTATTAACTTGCTAGTTCCCTTACACTTTTGAGAGAAGGGAGTTACTGGTCTGGCTTGTATTTGTTTCCTCTTTCGGGAAAACATGGTTTTAACGGGGAGAAGATTGCCTTTTGTTTATTGCAAGTTACCAATACAGCTGTTGTTTGAAGTTAATGAAACAATGTAGAATAATTTTTAGAAAGGGACCAATAGTGCTAAAGAAACATCCATCTGTATTCCAGCATTGCAAAATGAACCTTGTAGAGCAGTATGTTCCAAAGAAGTATTTTTGTAAGGGGGATGGAAGGGGAAATCTTGTCTGTCTTTAGCTGCTGCAGTGCCTGCGCTGCCTGATGTGCTACAGGTAGCAAAAGAGGCTGTGGCACTGATAACACTAGTTCAGCTAACAATACCTACTGCTAAAGCCATAAAGCTTTACTCAGCTAGGATTAGAAATGGATGTTTCATGTGACTAAGGGGATAAGGTGTGGTTTTTATGGGTCTCTGTGCTGCCTATCTAAGTGTTTCACACTGCTCTCTGTATTCTTAGCACTAACCTGTGGGCTGTATTTATCCTTAGGCATCCTTATAACAGCTGTTCAGCTGTTGTCTTGTAAATAGTGTGATTCGGCCAGTTGCTTTTGCAGTTATTCTTTTTAAAGATAAGTTAGCAGTCTGTGCTGTGGTCATGAAGCTATTTGGTTCGGATATTATGGGTCGCCATGTAGAAGGTTGAGAAATGTAAAGTGGAATTAATATTCTAAAGTTTACATATGATGTCTTTAATGTTTGAGTGGTATAGGTTATGCAATTCCAGTTAGAGTTTTACTAGACTTGATGAGTGGGCTTCAGTTTATTGTACTTCTGCTTGGGTTTGGGGATTATTTGCCCCAAGAGTTGTTAGTCTGATACAAATGAGTTCTGGATTTAATTTTTAGCTTGTTGAAATCAAATTGTAATTCACTGTTGAACTAAAGGGTCATAATACTTATGAATAGTTTCCCCAGCTATTTGATTTAAATTTACCCATATGAAAAGGCTGTGCTTTGTAGTGGTGTAGTACTTTGGGAGGAAGGCAGATGATGCAGCTCTCAGTAAAACTGTTATAAATGCAGAGTTCAAGGGACAGTGCTGACACACTCTTCTGATGTACACCCACAAGGATTCTAGGGCCTTTCAACAATCAGAAAGGAACTGTGGAGAACTTGTAATTGACTTTTTCAATTTAATTCTCACTGGTGTTGCTCCATTTCAAAACAATATATTTGCACATGCTGAAATAAATGATATGACTGCATTTCCATTGTGAGGGCTCAGCCTCCACGTATGTTTGGATGCTGTAAACTGGAATGCAACTTCTTATTCTGAAATTGAGAATTTAGTTGACTCTGAGAAACTAAAAGGATTGAAATGCTGGTAAGGGGTTCAGTGATACCAATAAGACTATGGTAGTAACATAATCTGGTTGCTACTAATTGTGAGTAGAATTTAGACATTGTTACAAACACTTTGTTTCTTTGTGAGATAGTAGTTTGAATTGTGATTTCAGTTAGCAAAGTTTCAGTTTTGTGACGCAACAGCTACAAAACCACGGTCATGTAGTTTGCTCAGGCTTAATTAAAGTGGCATTGATTTTTAGAGCTCTTATTTCAGTTGCAGAAAATGTAACCCCGTATTTCCCAGACATTATTGCCTTGGTTTTCTGGGGAAAATACCGGTATTCTGACAAGTTCAGGTTGTGAAATATTTCTTTAGCTACTTTCTGGTAGCTAAAAAAATCATTTGCCTCCAAATATGAGGATCTGCTGCACAGAAATTTAATGGTAGCATATTGTGATTTTAATGCTGAATTATTAGTCCTTTGAACTAATTTTTCTTTCTAAATGAAAGCAAAATCTTAGTGTGCATTTGTTATGTAACCCAAAATATTTGAAGAAGAGAGGGAATTTGAAAATTTTTAACTAAAACCTGTTTGTTTCTAGCCTGTGTTTAAATTACTTACAAGATAAACTTTAATTTCCAACCTATGCCAATGCAAGTGTGAAACAGATTGTTGCTTTTCCAGTGCCTTTTCCAAGTAAATACTTTTTTTTAAACATTAACATTGTTTAAATACTAACTTTGCAGTGACTCTGACTACAAAGTTGGGAAAATTGTTGCTTAATTGAAGTGAGATGGGATATGTCAATACTCAAGTGATTTACCAAAGAGGAGTTAAAAGCAGTGTCTGCTTTACTTCAAATTATTATTTAATTTCATACAAATATGGGGCTAGAACTTTAAAGTAAAGTTCTTAATTGATTCAGGTGATGATAAAACCTTGACTCTTGTTTTTGTAGTTCTTAAACTTGGCTACCTACCAAAGTGTGCTTCTGATTAATATTGCTATCTGAAAAACCTTACCAGCTGTTGGGTCTCTTCAGACAGCCTGCTCAAAAAAGGAAATTTTGCACAGTTGGAGACTCGCACAGCACACTTGGGTTTGATGGAAGTACAACGCGCGAACACAGGTCCTGAACTAGCTTTGTGTTTTCTCAGGAAACAAAGCAGGATTACTGTGGATTTACTGTAGAATTCAAGTCTGATCACTTGTTTGTGGTTCTGAAACTTAGCATTGTTCTAGGAGATGTTTCTGATAGGTACAGCGTGACTTTCGGCTCTCCTGATCCCGTGCATATGTGCAGCTCTGAACTGTACAGTTATGTTTAGGCATGCTATTTGTGCAGACACTACCACACAGGGTGTGCAGTGTGAAATTTGTCTTTCAGTCCATTCATTTTATTAAAAGAAGATGTAGCTGGTTGCTTTGTCCAATTAGTAAATACATAATGCAGAGTAATATGAATAGGAAGATACTTAAGAGGCTGAGGGGGTTGTGCAGCCACATTGCACGCTGCTGGAGGATTGGTAAAGCCTGTTCAATTTCCATGTCAAGCAGGCTTGTATTTGACTCTAGTCCCAAGTTTTTCTTTTTCTTACTTTGGGGTGGGGATATTCTTTAAAAAGATAATAAGATGGGCTTCAGGAGAGCTGGCATACAAAAGGAGTGAGTTTGCATCAGATATCAATTGGAAATTTATCTGTTCTCATTATTCTATTTTAGCTGTTTAGACCAAACATCTAGAATCGAGTGTTTCAGTTTGTCAGGCTGGCATTCATGAGTAACTGTCTTTCCAGTTAAACAAGATGAAAACCTGCTGCTTCTAAAAGGGGATATGAGCCACTACTGAAAATCCAAATCAGCTTTCTGATGTCAGAACTAATAGAGTGAAATGTGTTTCTGTATTGCTGCCCTGATAATTATATTTTCCTAGATGCAATTAAGTTCTTGTCTATGGAAATAATAATATTCCCTTCTAGAAAGTTCTCCATTAATCTTACGCAGCATCAGGAAAAATTAAAACTAAAAGACCATTTTTTGACCAATCTT